CCCGGGCCGTCCCAGTCCCGCCCCGAGCGAGCGGCAGCCGGGGAGGGTGCCTGCAGGAGGCTTGGAGCCCGTGGGCCCGCTGGGCAGCGCCGCCCCGGGCAGGTGCGCGGAGCCTGCAGCGCCACGAGGTCGGCGGGGCAGCGGACGGGGCGTTTGCTGTGACTTCCGTCCAGCAGGAACCGCTAGTCTACAGTAGGCCAGAAAGTCGGAGATAGCAGCCCGGCGCGCCGTCTTCCGCGGCCGGCGCGGGGTGACTGCACCCCGCAGACCCGGCTCGTCACACCCTGTTCTCGGAGCGGCGCCTTCCCAGATCTGCTAGATGGCACTTTACTTTCTGGTTTGGCAAATCCTCACATAGACTTCCTACTTCTTTTCAGTTCTGTCGTGGGAATTTCCTATGTAAAAATAAATCCCATGCAGATGACAATTTCAACCTCTCCCGCCTGCGTTTATTTGCCCCTACCCCATTCACACTCTTCCCCCTCCCCAAGTCCATTCACCCTTGTCAAAATAGAAACTGGACTATTGGTAACAATGGTTTTCAACTCTCAGGTAAAGTAGGAATGGAGTGTGCTACAAAGTGGGCTCATAATCAGGGGGACAGGTTAGGCAACAATAGATAATGGACAAACTAGGCAACTGAATTAAAATATGAAATCTTATTCTTTTTCAGCCATGTATTGATTTGCATCCATTTTTAGTTTTAAAATAAAAAAGAACAACCATACGATGAAATGAAGAGTACATATTGATGTGATGTGAATTAAATTTTAAAGCAAACCCGTTTACAGCAAGGAATGTAGAACGGCACTATGTAGCATTTCAGAAATCTCGCCATTCCCCTCGCCAGCCTCTCACCATCCCCCAGTGATTGTCACTCTCTGCTTTATCCTTGTTTTATAATTTTGTCACCCAAATGTATGTTTTACTTGTGCTTTAACCTTATTTAAATGGCTTTGTACCATATGTATTCTTTTACTCATAATAATTTGTGAGATTCATCTATACATCGCTATGAAAAATGACACATTTTTCATTTTTATGGCTGCATGGTTTTTCACACTGTTTGACACACTATCCATATAATAGAGATAAAAATTTGAACTGTTAACAGTTTACAACTTCTGCTGCTAGGAGCGCTTGTATATATTTCCCGGTGTCATGGCATTTCCCCCACTTCTTCCCTTTCCCAGATTGCTAGATGTGTTTGTTTTTGACTTGGGCAATCTTATGAACCTATTTTTTTTTCAAGTTATCTGTACTATCTTATACTTCCATACCAGTGTCAATAGTTCCTAGTGTTCCATATTTTCAGTGACACAATACTGTCACCTTTTCCATTTAGTGTAGTACTATATTTAACTTGTTTTGAAATAATTTTGTCAACGAAACCAACATAATTAACAAATGCATTGTGGGTCAATATTAGTTAGCCTGAAGACCCAGTGTTCAAGAAAAGATGAGCTGTCATGGCCTCAAACAGACAAAACACTTTCACAACGTGTTTGGAATTTTTAAAAATGTGCTTATTATCACAGGGTTTTTAAAATTTATTTTCATTAGTACATGCTTGCAATACATAGTGATTGTACTCATTGTGGGTTGTTTTATACAATATGTCATAATTTTCATTTTAAAAAGATCTGTTTTCATTATTTCTTCAATTTAATTCATTTTTCCTATCCCCTTTCCCTGTTTCCCATCTCTTGTTCTCTCATTCTTTTGAAAAAGCTCTTCCTACCTCCTACTTATCTGCCTGATATATTCCCCACCCCACATTAGAGCTTCTTATATAAGAGAAAACATGATATTTAAGCTCGTGAATCTGATTTATTTAGTGTTATGGTCTCAAGGTGCACCCATTTTCCTATAAATGACTCATGCTTATGTTTCATCAGGGCTGGCCCAAGATTGACCTGAGAGAGACTTAGGGTGCTCACTACAGAAGTGGAATCTCCATTGGTGGCCATGGTTTGCCTTCTGCAAATAAGTAAGGGCAATGAAGATATTCAGGACTGAACTTAACATCTTCTTGGCACCAGTTCCGTCTGCACACCAGGGCTGATTGCCTCTGCAGGGTCTCACTACATAGATCGAACTCATAGTGATTCTCATGTTATTCAGCCTCCCAAGAGCTGGAATTACAGGCGCAGGCCACCATGCCCAGTCTCAATCACCATCTCAGTGCGCCCCGGGGGGTGGGGCCAGCAGGGCTCCACTGATCAAACCCGGAGGGCCACTGTTCTTTAGTCCCCCTAGCTATCTGGCTGGCCCAACTTATATTTTCCTAATACACTGGAGAAGAAGAAGGAGGAAAACAAATATTTTAAAAAGAAAAAAATACAAAAAAGAAAAATACTAAGAACAAGAACAAGAACAACAATAGCACCAAATTTCTCTGTGAGTTTCAATGTATAGTTCTCTTCCAGGGGCTAAAATCTCAGGACAGTGTCTGGTTCAAGACATGTCCCTATTCAGGGTAGTAGATAAAGAAGGCAGTCAGACCCAGGTCCATGCCAAACGCAGGCATCATCAGACAGTAGGAGTAGTGTTAAGTGCCCATGCTGTTACTTTCAAATCCAGAGCAGTTCCTGCTAGGCCTAGCCTCTGGCGTGCACTAGGGGTGCGTCTGTGTTCTTCAGTGCACACTCCTTATGGCAGCAACGGCAAAACTTCCAGAGACTGACGCCCAGACTGCAACCCAAGACCCGCTTATTTATCACAAAGTGCCAACACTGCAATTCAACCTGAACAGGAGGTTTTAGCTTAGAAAAAAAACAACTCTACATTGACATCTTTTGTCTTAAAAGAAAAACAAACAGCACTGGTGCCAGTAACATAGGTTGCCATCACTGCCTTCAGGAGTCTTTGCAACTTGCTCCCTGGCTGTGGCTGTCTCTGTGGTTGTCTCAGACTAATCACTGTGGGAACCTAACACTGAAACCCCTGGAGCGAAGCATTCTCGGGGCTGCTCTGAGTGAGACCTAGGTTTAGACAGTCAGCCTTTTCCTGGAATGGCATCTGACCAAACAGTCTCTCCATGGATATGTCAAGTGCATGAACTAGTCACACACCAGCTATTGCCTGTCACAGGACTCATGTAGGCTCAGAATTCCTCTCTGTTTTTTTGTTTGTTTGTTTGTTTGTTTGTTTGTTTTGCAGAACCAGGGATTGAATTCAGGCCCTTGTGCTTGCCAGGGAAGTGCTTATTCCACTGAGCCATCTCCCTGGCCCTCCCCTCTGTTCTTGAAGCTCATAGCACCTGTTAGTCCATTCTGCTGCCAGGTTTCTTCCTGAAGCCCTCTAAAGCTCCAGTTTTCCCTTTCTCTCTGCAACTTTCATCTTCTTTCCCCATAAGCCACAAGCTAGGAGTAGAGACTCTCTTTCTTTCTTCTGTTGTGTTCTACATCTTCAATTTATCTGTTTTAAATTGCCTGTCAGATCCTTTCTGGTTCCTGGAGACCTGTTTGTTCCCAGAGTTGTTACTTTCCAATGCCTGGATTCTGAATCTTGGAAAGACTGAGTTGTTGTCAGTCACTACTCTGCCATTTTCCCTAGAAGTGTATTATTTCTTGATGACAGCTATTGTTTCTGGAGCAAGACAGTATCTCAATGTTGTTTTAGTTTGCATTTTTGTAATGGCTACTGATGTTGAACATTCAAGTATTTATTGGCCATTTATACTTCTGAGAAGTGTCTATTCATGTCAGTTTGCCATTTTTCATTGGGTCTTTATTTTGTGTGGTCTAATTTTTTTTAGTCCTTCATATATTCGAGATGTTAGTTATTTATCTGAGGAATGTCTGGCAATTTTCTCCCCATTTTGTAGGTTGTCTCTTCACACCTGTAATACTAGGACTTGGGAGACTGAGGTAGGAGAAGTACTGTGAATTTGAGGTCAGCCCATATTGCACATTGAGAGAGGCTGTCTCAAAAAAAGTAAAAAAAAAGATATTGCATGTGAATTATATTTCAAATCATCTATAACCAAAAAGTTGATAGCAGTTTTATACAGGTTAAATAATTAAATATATAAACACTACAATGTTAGACATCCTTCATTTAAGAACAAGTTCTGTTCCTACAACTAGGTTGATATATGAATTGATTCCTAAATGAAGAATTGTATATAGTATGTAATTACATATTAGAACAAAGAAATTGTCAAAGGAAATTCCAACGTGGCGACTTTGCTTTTATTTGCATAACTCTTACATGCGGTACTGTAATGTATAAGAGAACACAAAAGAACAGTACTATACAGTACAGTCAGCAAAAATTACAGTATTTACTTTTGAAGAAGTCACCATAAAGCTGCACTACTGTTCATGCTCCAAGTGTGGGGTGTAAAGTACCTGTGCTGTAAGCTCGAACAGTTGTTAAATGGGTAGGTTGTTAAATGAGGAATACTTGTATATGACTTTTTACCCTAAACAAAAGCTCATGGTTCTTTGTTGAAATCCACCTTGGAAGGATTGTTGCTTATGAGTGAAGTGGTGGAAGAGAAATTTTTTGAAAGCTGTTGGAAATTAGATGTCATACCAAATGTGGATGGATGTGACTCATAGCACACAGTAAATCAGGTGATTGGAAAGTGAGTGCTTTTTATGCAGCTATACATGGTACAAATCAGTCATTGGGTGATTTTGCATTCACTTACTGTTTATTGCAAATGAGATCATTCATTAGCAAGTGTAAAAGTTCCATTATGTGTAAATCGTCTCTAGGATATCAGTTGCATTGGATAAAATTCAAATATTTGGATGTCTCAGTGTTAACCGAGTAGCAGAGTGTTTTTCTGGAGTGTGTGAGGTCCTTGGTTCAACTACCAACACCTCAACATAATCAGGTATCTAGATAGTGGAACTGACTGTAGCACCTGCTTGCACTTAAA